TGCCACCGGTAATGCCCCCCCAGGTACCTGTGGGAAATCCAGGCCAGCCCCATCAGATGCCAATGGGTAACATATCTCAGCATTCACAAATGCCTGTGGAACCCCAAGCTCCACCAGGTAGTGTAAAACCCATGCAGGCAGGTGGTGTGAAGTTCGATGACAACAACCCATTCAGTGAAGGCTTCCAGGAGAGGGAAAGGAGGGAGAGGCTTAGGGAGCAGCAGGAGAGACAGCGGGTGCAACTCATGCAGGAAGTTGAACGACAGAGAGCTCTGAAACACCGTATGGAAATGGAACAGCAAGGGATGATAGGGCCTGAGGGGAACATGGCACCACTCGCTCAGATGCCATTTTTTAATGCAGAGCTGCCACAAGACTTCATGCAGCCTCAGAGGCCCCCCATACAACAACAGGCTCTTGGACCAATGTTTCACCAGCAGCAGGGCATGCAGCATGGAATGGGCTCACCACCTGGAACGTTTGTACAAGGTGAAAGGAGGGCCTTGATGGGCAATGGGATGATGCCCCCAGACATGGGGCCTGATAATCTTGCCCTGCAAACACCTAATTTTCCCCAAGGGCAGCCCAGGTCTCGTCAGTTCAGTGGCCCAGGAATGATGCTTCAGATGCCAGGTGAGGGTCCGGCTTTTGGGGGTGACTCGACACCTCTGCCTTCTAACTTTCCAGGCTCAGGTCAGTCTCTTATCCAACTCTACTCCAACATCATCCCAGATGAGAAAGGGAAAAAGAAGAGAACCCGCAAAAAGAAGAAAGATGATGACGCCGATTCAGTCAAGACACCCTCAACTCCACACTCTGACCTTACAGCCCCTCTCACACCATGTGTCTCAGACACCTCCTCAACTCCAACCAGAAATACCCATCTTTTCGGAGACCAGGACTTGTCTAGGTCCCCCTTACTGGGATCCTCCACCCCTAGTCATTCAGAGCTGGAAAGGCAGCTTTCTGGAGGAAATTCTGGACAACCTGGTCTCTCATCAGACACAGCCAGGACACAAGCTCAGGTGCATGACAGGATACTCAGCAATATAAAGCTGGAGCAGACTGATGCCAGTGATTGTCATGAGCCAAGAGAAGGGGCTGTTGGCTCTGAAATGAGTTCTGTGAAGGAGGAGGGTAGTAAAGGGAGTGCATCTCCCTTCCCTGCAGGGCCAAGTCCAAACAAGGGTGATGCTAGCAATGAGCTACTGAAACACCTTCTGAAGAACAAGAGCACACCCCCACCTGGGTTCTCCCAACAGAGGTCAGAGGAGAGCCTGCGCTCAGAGGAGGAAGAGTCTACAGACTGCAAAACCCTGCTGAGACAAAGCTCCATGGACAGCAGTGGGGTCAGTCTTTGTTAGTCATACATTTATAGAGCACTGAGGGGGTGATCAACATAGTGAGCCATAGAGGGGCTAAGTGTTTCAGCTGAGTGAGGTGTCACAGTTAAATTGGAATGAGTCATACAAATCAGTTATTTGAATGGGTCATAGTTTTGTGCTTGAAAATATTTAACTAGAAGCCATAAGCTGCACAAGTAATTTGAAGATTATTCACATCTGTTTATGCAGTAATATCTTTTTCATATCTCCAGGCATACTCAGATGGCACCGCTGACTTTCCTGGACCTCTTCTTCCTGAACAGGAGAAGAAGAAAGGGAGGAACAAGAGGGCACCAAAGGGAGGTGAGAAACCTGGCTCTCGCTACAAGAAGAGGAAAAAGGAAGGGGATGAGAGGCAACTGATGAACCCTGGCCCTGACACAGTAATGACCCAAATTAAACAGGTAAGGTTTTTAATCGCCTCTTCCTCATATGGCTGGTGAGAGCTGCATTGCTGCAGGTCTTTAGGAACAGAGGATTGTAGAAAGATTATAACTTGAAATCAGAATGCTTTAATCCAAATTTTACATTATTAATTACTGTCAGAACATAAAATTGTTTCTGTGAAGTGCATGGACACAGATTTCATATCATAAGTATATTGTTGTAATTAGGATGACAGTTGCACACCCAGGTGTTAGAAGCTGTTATTATTCAGGAGAGTGGATGGGGATTCATGATTATGAGTCCCTCGTTGATTGAGGCTTATTGATTTATACTTTATGAAACAGTTTCGTCCATTGGAAATACAGTATAGTATCTCACCATCAGATTAAATGCAGCTCAAAAGCTAAATGTACATGAACTATGTTAAGTATACAAGGGAATTTACAGCAGTGTTTTAAGAATTGCATTTTTGAAATGGTGAAAGCGTTTCAATTTTAAAAGAACAAACAGAGAAACTGCATTATGTAATAAGGTGAACAAGTTCTCTTAATTCATCAAATTATAAAACAAGTTAGCAGAAAAAGGAAACCAAAACAACAGTTTACTGGCCATTCAGACACAGCCATGATGTCACATCCTAAAGATTAATATAAAACGTATGTTACAACTTATTCTGTCTGAGATTGAATGATGCTGGATTGATAATAAATATAGTATATGCTGCATGCCTTATTGTTTTCAGCATTTTATATACTGTAGATATACAGCGCATTGTACAATTTTACGTAGTATTTATTTTTGGTGGTTAGTTATTGGACATAAATTGCCCTTAGTACTTGTGATATATTTCTGTCCCTTCCCCGTGATTGACTTTTTTTGTTTCTTTTTTTTTTCCTTCTGACACAGCAGCTTTCCCTGCTGCCTCTCATGGAACCTCTAATTGGGGTCAATTTTGCCCATTTTGCTCCCTATGGCAGTGGCCAACTCAACGGAGAAAACCTCTTGTCTGGTACTTTTGGCAGTGCCTCACTAGATGGAGTCTCCGACTACTACTCTCAACTGGCCTACAAGGTGAACTTTGCTAACCTTACTATGTTGGAACTGGGTAAAGATAATGACACATGTCTGCAGCATGATTTGCTGACTTTTAGTTGGAATTGTTTCCTACAGCAGAGTAATCTGAGCAATCCACCAACACCACCGGCATCTCTTCCTCCTACCCCACCACCTGTGAACCGTCAGAAAGCAATCAATGGATTTGCCACAACAGAAGAGCTGGCCAGCAAAGCTGCTGCCATGGGTAAGTTTGCAGGAGGGTGTACCTTAATGCCACATTTCATAATACTCATAGAACTATTCCCATAATATAGGATGGTCCATAATGCTTTATTGAAAGATTTTTTTTCTCCCACTATCTTACATTACATCACAGGTTCAGGGTATGGTGTATTTCAATAATTACAATAATTGTTATAATGGAAATTCTGCAAGAATTGTTTGTTTACATTAATTCTGCTATTGTGCTCCTATTTTATATAGTCTCGAAAGGCCTGGTTCCAAAGCCGCTACATGTCCCATTCAGGACCGAGGAAGATCTTCTAGCCCGGGCCATCGCACAGGGACCTAAAACTGTGGATGTTCCAGCTTCCCTCCCCACTCCTCCACACAACAACCAGGAGGAGCTCAGGTAATGGATAATTGACAGTAATTCTTTCTCACCGTTTTGTAGTTGGTTATTGCACCATTAAAAGCTCTCAAGCATTTGTTCAGGTCGTTTAACCCTGTTACAATAATAGTCTGGTGGCATGGTTTTGACAAAGGCGGTTAAAAGTTTCTTTGTCCCCCATTACATGTTAACAGTAACAGAGGACAGGAGCCTTCCAAAGACAGGGACACACCTGACAGTTTTGTTCCATCCTCATCTCCTGAGAGCGTGGTTGGAGTAGAGATCAGTCGCTACCCAGACCTTTCTCTGGTGAAGGAAGAGCCACCATCCCCCTGCCTGTCTCCTATCCTGCCCATGCTTCCTGCACCTGATGGGAAAAGTAAACAAATACTGAAATACAATTAATTGGATATTTTTGTGTATGCAGTTTAAACACACATCCCTGGCATAACTTAACATTGTCCTCCCTTTTTATCCTCAAGTGTCTGAGATCAAACTGCAAGATATCAAGACTGAAGCTTCTGCGATGTTCTTTGGCTCCCCCTTTGGCCCCATGTCTAATGATTCCAAACAAGGGCTGGTTTCTGTAGCTATCACACTGAGACCAGCTGCAGCTGAGGTAAGAATATTTTAATTCACAGAATTTAAGATGATTTCAATATTACCTTCTTTCACTAACGCTGAGTCAAAAAGGCAAAATCTACTTGAACACTTACCTCCTCTCTCCTCATCTGTCCCTCTCTGTCTTCCCTAATCTATTTTTCCTCTCTCTATGGACGTGCACAAACATGTCATAATAATATGGACTATGATAGGCTAGTTATTTTTCTATGAAAATTAAGTTTTTTTTTTCAGCCAACTGACAGCAGGGAAGATTTTGGTGTGGCAGAACACCACAGAGAAATGTTACAAGTGGAAACACTGTACATATTACCACATTTAAAGCCACTCTCTACTAGTTAAAACATACCATTTTCAGGTAATTAAGTGTCCAATTTCTGCATTTTCCTCTCCAAAATAAATATTTCAGTTAAAGTCTAACATGCTTGTTTAGGTTGTTGAGTCAGGCATGCAAACCAAAGTGAGGAACATCCACTAATACATTTTTCACACAACTTAAATTTAGAAATATCTGATAGAAGGCTGGTGCTTGTTTAAACATATTTACCTTATAAATATACAACCACAATAGCACTGTATAAAATGTCCAGGAATGCAAATAGCAAGCCAGAAGAGGTCCACAAGAGATTCAATGAAAGACTCAATTTACTTAACTTTTGTTTGTTTTTTTTCCCCTCAGAACATCATAGGTGTGGTGGCGGCCATTTCAGACTTGCTGTGTGTGAAGATCCCCAGCAGTTATGAGGTCAGCAGCACTCCAGACAGGGGGTCCCTATCTGTGCTCAGTGGTCCAAGGGCAGGTCCCCATGGCATGGAGCCTCAGCCCCCCATGCTATACCACATACAAGGTGACAGTGGAGGGCTTCATGGGCGGCCAGGACAGATGATAAGACCTGGTGGAGCACAGGGCATGATGCAGCAGCCACAGGCGCATCATTTCCGCTTCCACCTCAGTAGCCCAGGTGAGGGAATAAGCCTAAATTAAACAAGAGCATTTCTGATTCTCCCAAGTAGTCTAACCCAACTTTCAACACAAACATCACATCTGATTTAAATGTAACATGATGGCTTCCTGTGAAAAAGCACAAAGCTGTTATGTAAACTCAATATGTAATAATTTCTCTTCAAACATCCACAGGAGCAATTACTTTTTTAACAGTATATACCAATAGCATTTTTGTCTCACACGTAATTATTTCTCTGTGAGTGCAGTGTAAAGCCTGGGTGCTGACAGCCATTTTGATGGATTGCAATGATTCTTTCCTGCTTAAAAAAACACAGTAAACTGTTTCTAAACTCCTGCTCATTGCTGTCAGAGCAGAAACGGGCCTAATGGGAGCTGTCAGCACAGAAATGTGGACAACTCAGAGAGAGCCAGTGACAGTTGCCTCTGTTGTCTAGTTTCATTTGTTGCTGGTGGTTTTATTTTCAAAGGTTATATTTATTTGTTTACCAAAAATCAAGTATCATAACACTGCAGGTTTACAATCTCAGAATGCATTTGGAAATGAATATAAAACATCCTCTCTGTTCATTCAGGTGCAGCTGTGGCTCGAGGACCTGATCAGAAGACCCCTGCCAGCCCTGGATGTAAACCTCAATGGTGCTGCCACTGTAAGGTGGTGGTTCTGGGCCATGGCGTACAGAAATCCATCAGAGATTTCCCTGCCCACTTGAAGGTACTGAGTCAAATAGCCCCGAGTATTCCTGAGGGCAGCATATTAAGTAGGAAGGCCACACTTCAACTGAAAAACCTGGATGCTGAAAGTGTAGTTTAGACACAATTTTAGCTGAATAAAGAGAGGAGATACTGCTTCCCATTTTCTTCCTCAAGTATCACAGTAGCAGCTAATAGGTAGTCAGCAGTATATCATGTCCAAATAGCTGTACAACCGAAAAGTCTAGTCAAGTACAACAGGCTTTAATTATACAGATAGTAACAGTTCATAAAAAGCCCTCTCTGCTAAACACCTATGGATGGTTTTGTTATTGATTTCCCAGTGGATTTTCCACATAAGCAGTGAGTGTAAGCCCAGACATTTTACTATAGAGGATATATTATGTACTTTCAGCCTGAAGCACCACACACATCCATCTGTTCATACACACACAGCCCGACTGTGAGACTGATTATGTAAATCAATCCTTCTGGAGTTGAATCCAATATGGATCTATTATTGGGTTAAACAGCATACCTTATGACTCTACTCTTGAGAGTACTGCGGCTATTTAAAAAGTGCATATTTGATGTTTTATTTCATAATTTATTTTATTGCCAGTTGAGCTTAAGCGGTGTGTATATTGGTCAGGCGTTGATTTTACACCTCATTCCTTATTCAGCCTGGGAAAACATGGTCTGGTTTTTCTCACAAGGAATCTGCACACCATTTGAAATCTGAAGAAGACCTGGTCTTCTGCAGTCACAGCTGCTTCCTACTCTACTGTTCCTCATCACCGTTGCAGTCCAGATCAACTACAGACACTAAGGTTTGTAACAGCATAACGCATATAGAAACACCACAGTGTGTCTAAATGATATAGAAATAATGTGACTGTTTTGTTTTTCAGGAGTCATTGTCCCTTCTGCCAGGTTCAGAGCAAACTGAGAGCCTTTCTAAAGCACAACATCAATACAGCAACAACATGTCATCGCTGGATGTTCATTGCCTGGCTCAGCTTCAGCCCAAACTCTCTCCCCCCTCTACCCCTCCTATCCCCTTCCCCACAGCAGGCGAGACACCCAAGATAGAGTCAAAGTCTGATGCCATCAAAGTGACAGTGAAGCTAAAGGCTCGGCCACGGTCCCATGATGGCTGGCACCAGGCCGCTGGAGGAAGTGGGCAGTCCAGGTGGTTGTGCCAAGAGGGATTTCCCACCTTCCAGATGAAGATAAGATTGATGAGCTCCTCAAGAAACTCGGAGCCTCCCTCCGCCCTCCCGCCTCCCTCCGGGACCAGAGACGTTGCTGTTTCTGCCACCAGTTTGGAGATGGGATCACTGATGGCCCTGCAAGGCTGCTTAATCTCGATCTTGATGTATGGGTTCACCTAAATTGTGCCCTGTGGTCGACTGAAGTGTATGAGACTCAGGCTGGTGCCCTCATCAATGTGGAGCTTGCACTGCGTCGCGGTCAAACAATACGCTGCGCCTACTGTCAGCAGACTGGAGCCACCAGCGGCTGCCACCGCCTACGCTGCACAAATGTCTACCATTTCACCTGTGCTCTGCAAGCACAGTGCACCTTCTTCAAGGACAAGACCATGCTATGCCATGCCCACAGACCCCGGGGAACAGCTGGACAAGCACTGGAGCATGAGCTGCGTTGTTTTGCTGTCTTCCGGCGCGTCTATGTCCAAAGAGACGAAGTGCGTCAGATTGCCACTGCGGTGCAGCAGCCCGAGTTAGGCTATACATTTCGAGTCGGCAGCCTGGTGTTACATGCAATGGGCCAACTAACCCCTCTACAAATGGCAGATTTCCATTCCCCAACAGCCATCTTTCCAGTTGGCTATGAGGCTTGCCGGATTTACTGGAGCATGCGCCATGGCAACCGACGTTGCCGCTACATCTGTTCTGTTGAAGATAAAGAAGGACTGCCAGAGTTTACCATCAGGGTCATCGAACAGGGCTACCAAGACCTGGTCCTGACTGACACAACTGCAAAAGGTTTGTCCTCATTGATTCCTGAGAGAAATATGAGCCTTTTCAAAGTATAGTTTTTAACCATCATGTGTGCTTGTCTCACTGTAATAAGGCGTGTGGGATAAGGTTCTGGGTCCCGTTGCTGAGAAAAGAACTGAATCGGGCACTCTGAAGCTGTTCCCTGTTTACCTAAAAGGAGAGGACCTGTTTGGCCTCACAGTCCCTGCAGTCACCAAGATCACTGAATCGGTTTGTAGCTGCTTTTTAGTGTTTTACTCTGGTTAAAGAACAGGACATTTAAACAAATATTTGGATCATTCTGTGGAAGCAGCAGCATACAAGCCTTCTTTACTTCTTCATTTCAGCTGCCAGGAGTGGAGGCTTGTGACAGGTACTCTTTCCGTTACGGACGCAACCCTCTTGTGGAGTTGCCTCTTATGTTCAATCCAGCTGGCAGTGCCCGTGCCCAGCCAAGAACAAGCTCTCACTACACTTCACTGGTGATAAGGTAACAGTGGTTCATATTGACATGAATTTGTGGCCACAGGGTGTCTCTGGGCATTTCCCTAATTCACAGTTATCCAAAAAATTACTGAGTTATTAGTGTTTTCACTTTCCCTCTTTCAACATAAAGGCCACAACCACAGGTTGTATCCGGCAGTAATGCCAGGTCTAACCAGAATGTGGCCCAAGGAGAAGGTGGCACCCCCCATAACAAGTCACCGGTAGTGCATCCCAGGTCCTCTCAGTACCGCTGGATGAAGAGTGAGTGGAGAGCCAATGTCTATCTGGCCCGCTCTCGCATCCAGGTGAGTCTTAAAATAAATATTCTACAACATTTTCAGTTATGATTGATAATGATGCTTCTCCTGTGAACAAAATTAATACATACTTGTATCGTATGTTCACAGGGCCTTGGGCTGTTTGCTGCTAGAGACATTGAAAAGCATACTATGGTGATCGAGTACAATGGAACCATCCTCCGAAATGAGGTCACCATCAGGAAGGAAAATATCTATAGATCTCAGGTATACATTTGTTTGAAATACTTTTTGAGCTAAAATTCCTCTTATCCAAAATTAGTTTTGCCAACACAGCAAGTCAATTTTCTTTCCTTCCTTACAGAACCGAGCAGTGTTTATGTTCCGCATCGACAGCGAGCATGTTGTTGATGCCACTCGAACTGGAGGGCTAGCAAGGTACTCTGAGATTCCACTGATCATTTTTTACATTTTTCTAAGCATTTAACAAGAACATAAAATTGCTTTTCTTTCTTTTTTTGAAATTCATATTCAGGTTCTCAGATTTTTGTTCTGAATGGACAAGAAAGAAAATGTGTTTATATATCTGGTTTTTGGAAAACAAAAACTCAGCATGCAGAAAGCCTGCAATCTGTAGCAGTGTCTGAGCTATGCTGCTCCATTTCACATATAGTCAAACTGCCTTTCAGCTGATCAGGAAAAATGCTGGTTTAAAAGCAGAACATACTGTTTCTCTGCCTCCGTCTCCCAGCATAGCATAGTCAACCATGTATTTGCATGTCTGTGTGGTTAAATTAGTTTTAGCCTGTTTTATATTACAAATGACCAGCATTATTTTTATGGCTTCTACATAAATCACTTTTTTGTTTTGTTAAACTATCATCACATGTTATCCTAAATTGTGTGCATTGGAACAACTGCTGCTTCTATCTAAACTACTATTTCGTTTTCAAAGCTCCGGCTGGACATGTTTGGCCATTATATACTATAAGCTTGTTGGGTCTGCGTCATGTTTGGACAGAAATATGCAGCTCAATACGTGCTCTAATTCAAGATAACGCATCATTAGACAGTCTAACAGTCCAGTGCTGCTCTTGAAGCCACAGATTGAAGCCATTTTGCAAGTCGTTTTAAAAACTTGGATTATTCTGTACTTGATGTGACTGTTTTATTTAATTTTATTAGAATGTAAAGGCATTTTAAAAAAAGAATATGAATTTTTAAGCTAAAGTTTTTTAAATTCAGATTTAGAGTACAAATACTATGGGATATAAAATTTACTCTTGATGATCATTGTAAATGTAAAATGGAACATAGAGCTACACACTTTATAGCCATGGTGAGAGATTAATGCCTTTTTCATGTTCGGTTTGTTCTACAGATATATCAACCACTCTTGTGCCCCGAACTGTGTTGCTGAGGTGGTAACATGTGAAAGGGGTTACAAGATCATCATCAGCTCCATTCGCAGAATAGAAAAAGGAGAGGAGGTAGGTGTCTGTCTCTGTGATGAGTGTGGAGAGTGTTAGGGGTTTGATGGCATTTTATTGAACCTGAATCCAGTTCCTGATCCACTTATCAAATCTGAATCCTTTCAAGTCCCTTATCGAATCTGATTAATAATAATTATACTAATACATTTATTCATATATCACTTTTCAAGGAATTCAGAGACACTTAAGTTTGTATAAAAATATGTATTTTAATTGTATGCACTACAGCAGCAAAACAACTTTAAACTTTTTTTGGGAACAAACTGTGCAATATTTATGATTCTAGCTTATTTTAACCACAGCTGGTCATTTTACTTGTGATTACAGACCATTTACCAGACAGTCTGATACTGACACTAACTACAGTATGAACTATCAAGCCTAAACCATGGACATTCTGCTGAGCTCTAGTGTTGTAGTTGATGTTATCACTGCTCTGTGACATTCATTAACCCTGTCCTCCCTCATGTTTCCATGTGCCGTGTTTGCTCCCCAATGGGGGGCTGTGCTGCAGCTGCAGAAGCTCACAACAGTGAAAGTAATAAGTCTACTTTATCATTCAGTTAATTTCATTTTAATAAATCACTGGGAGTTTGCTGAGCTATGAACTCAGCTTTATCTAAAGGTGGACTGGTTGTTGAACTGCTACAGCTCTGACAGATCACACTACACCAGCAGTAGACTGTGTGAGGCCTGAGCACTCCTCCTGAGCTGTCCTTCTTATATTATTTAAATACAACTTTAACATGATGGACACTAGAATACTATTTAAACAAAGCACAGGTTGTCCCCTCTTTCTCCATGAGTACAGACCTACAAATATGACTTTTTGCAGTTGTTTGACTTTGGCTTTGACTTCAGAGTGGTTAAGCAGGTCTGCCGTGTTTGGTTACGACAGCATTTTACCCCCCAGTCTTTATTTACATAAGATGCAATAGGCTACATAGCCTAGCATAATGCATATAACAGTCTCACTAAGTTATCACTAGTTTCTAAACATTTTATTTCCCTTTGGTGACGTCTGTATTATCAGAGATGCCAAAGAGTGTAAACTAAACAGAGAACATTAATGACAGGTTCGATAAGGGATTCTTTTGGCCATGAAGCTTAGTGAACCTGGATATTTCACCAACTCGGGACCGGATCCAAAATAGAACCGGCTATCGGAACCCAGCCCTAATGAGTGTGGTTGTACAGACACTGATGTTTCTCTCCTTGTTCTCCAGCTGTGTTTTGACTACCAGTTTGACACGGTGGAGGGTCAGCACAAGATCGCCTGCCACTGTGGAGCTCCTGAATGCAGGAAGTGGATTAACTGACTAAAACGACAAACCTAAATACATTCCTAAATGCTATAGCTTGTGAATGCTGTGATCTCTGCACAGAGGAAAAGAAGCCTTCACACTGAAGTCATTTTATGAATGAGCAGAAGGCCTGAACCCGAGGAGAGGAACAAATTTGTGTCGACTCATCAAGATCATATTAAAACAAAATGGGTGGAGGAAGCAACAGTGTAACACAGTAGCAGGATGTGATTTATGCCACATGTGGCTCTGTTGTATGGGATGCATCTGTCCGTGTGTATGCATCTGTGTGTTTGTCGGGTTGTACATGAGGTGCGGAATCCACCACCGAATGAGAAAGCACTGTGCAGGGTGCGGCCTTATTGCTTACTAAGGGCAGGCCCTTTTGTTTCATACTGTTAATGTATACCGTATGAGTAAATGTAGACATCACTGAATGAGGAATGTACAGCAATGATTACCACGAAGGGAATATTAACTTGCACTAAAAAAAAGAAAATAAACAAAAAAACCACCCCACACACACAAACTTTTAAAATACTTGATTCCATGAGTCAGTTTTATCATAGGTCTCTGTCATGTGATATGTGTGGAATTTGAGAGGTTTTGTATTTATTACTGAATGAATGAATCTTATTCTCAAAATGATGAGATTGAGTTAAAGAAGGCTAGATTGCTATTGTTTTTGAAGATTGAAGAAGAAATGCTGTTACTTTTGTATAAATGTACATAAAGAAAACTATAGGAATAACCGACCAAATACTACCTTAACCTTCTTGATGTTTGGGTGTTTTTAAATTGTTTCTGTTCTGTTTGTCATTGAAATTTATTTAAGATGGACGTTATTTCAATTTGAGAGTATATATTATGGTTACTCTGTACAGAATTTGTAATATAACCACAATAATTCACAAAGTATTTTTGTTGTATTAAAAGTAAGGTATTGTAGCGTAGTGTTTTGTGACTTTCACATACTTTGACCACTCAAAAAGGAAATATTTTTGTTGACTAACGTAACGAGTTATCAGTTACAGAATAAAAAAAAAAAAAAGAAATAGTAAGAGATCTGTGTGATCTGTTTGCTGTTAATCAGGTTTGATTTTGAAGAACTGTGAATTTGGTTTTGAAACCCAAAAACAGCTTTTTAACTTTTTAACACAAATAGGAGCACCAACATGTATTTACTTTTCTGTTTTTACTTTACTTTGAAAATAAGGTGCAAACGTCTAATGATATTGTGCGTTAGACGAACCAGCATGTGACAGATGTAACTGGGAGCTCTTATTTGGAACCATAGGTTCTACCTTTTTGACAGAAATGGCATTCTGCTTAATCAAATATTTCTTATACTGACACTTCACAAGTCACATGCTTAGAAACAAGAGTTTTTGCGTGCACAATTTCAAGTTGACTGTAAAATTTTGGAGACAGTCTTAGAACTTGTAATGTATATGGCATGTATTTTTTTAACTTTCTGAAGACTCAATTGTATATATTTTCTCAATGAATGGTTGTAACAAAATTGTTTCTTGGATATTTTTCTTCTCTTGTATGATATCACATCATCCTGCCAGTGTGTTTGTGCTACATTTTCTTGGTCATGTAAAGTAGGTTTTTTTTTTGTTTGTTTTTTCTGTTTTTGTTTTTTTGAAAAAGCCTTTTGAAGTGTACAGATTGAGGTTTGGAGTTTGTGGAACTGAATTTAGAAACATTTACAAAAATAAACTATTTTACATGTTAGCATGTGTATTTGTCAATTTGCACACATTTTTAGTTTGAATATTTGAGAATAATGTTTTTAGCTTCCCTAGCACTGATGATTTGAAATGGCTGTAAACCACTAGACAAAGAGCCAAGCAAGGTGAGGACAAATGGTGGTAACTTCAGACCCCTTCACTTTTTTTCATGTTTTATGTTTTTTGGCAAATGTATTAAAGACAAACCGATATGTTGACATAAGTATTGTCATTGACATAAGCATCAGACTCTTAGTGCTTAGTTAAAGCATGTTTGGAAGCAAATACAGCCGTAGGTCTTCTTTGGCATGACCTGTTGAGCTTTGCACAGACTTTTCTTTTCAGTATTTTCTGTCCTTCTCTGTAGATCCTCTCAAGCTCTGTCAGATTGGATGGAGACCACTGGTGGACAGCCATTTTCAGGTCCCTACAGAGATGTTCTGTTATTAGGGTCAAGTCAAGGCTCTGGCATTTACAGAGTTGGCCCTAAGCCACTCTGGCATTGTCTTTGCTGTGTGCTCATTGTCCTGTTTGAAGGTGACCCTTTATACAAACTTTTGTCACGTGTCTGATCACTGAGAAGAGGCTTCTGTCTGGCCAACCTCCCATACAGCTTGGTTTTTGTTCTGTCTTTGCCTTGTCATCTGTGAGACCTTATATAGACAGGTGTGAGAGTTTACCACAGGTGGATTCCAATCAAGTTGTAGAAACAGCTCACAGATGATCAAGACAAATGGAAGGCACCTGAGCTAAATTTCAGATGTCATTGTAGCTCAGTACTTAAGTCATTGTGATATTTAACTTTTTTTTATTATTTGCAAACATTTCTAAAATGTTATTTTTGTCCTGATTGGGATACTAAGTGAAGAATAAGGTTCCAGTGTAAAATGAAAAAAGTGAAGGGGTCTAAATACTTTCTGAATGCACTGTACTGTATATTTAATAGAGTAGCCTTTAAAAGACTGTTGCGTTGCCAAGGATGGAATCAAATACATCGGTGGCTCTCAACCTTATTGGCTTGAGGCCAATAACGGGCTGCAGCCTGCAATTATTGTTATTTTCACGATTAATCATTTGGTCTATGAGTTGTCTGAAGATAGTGAAAATGCCTGTCACAAACTGACATAATTAAATTGTGTAATCTGTCCACTGTTCATAACCCAAATATCTTCAGTTTGTTGTCATGGAAGACTGGGAGAATGAGCAAATATTCACTTTTGAGGAGCTGGAATCTTAAATGATTCACACAGTGACACAGCAGATCAGCTAGTCTGATGATAGTTTTGCAAAAGACGAGGTATAGTGGTAGGTTTCAGAGCTACTGGATTCACATGTAGTGTGCTGTGAGCATTGTACTCTGTATTTGATGAGATTGAAGGTGAAGTAAAAAGGTTAGTGGAGGCCTTAAGGTCAGAGGGGCGATGCGGGTTAATCTGGCCTTGTGACTTTCAAAAAGTACATACAGAAATACAACACTAATAAAACTAGAGGAAGATATTTCACTCTTATCCAAATGGCATCACAATCCTCTAACTTTTCTCTTAATGAGTAGAATACAGTGTCCTAGTCAGTAGCCCTTTTAACTTTATGTCAGTTTACCCACATCAGACAGAATAACTCGGCTTGTGACAGCTCACCTCCTGCCCTTTCACAATAGGCACTTTCTCATAATCTACATTATTATTCATGCTAAAAATATAGTGGTCCTTGCACTAGCTCCCAGTGGACATTAGAGCTGATTAACAGCTTATTGTTTATATCTGAGTTGTACTGACATCTGTTGGTTAAGTACCTGTGTACGTCAAATCTGCCTGGTGTTGTGTCAAATTCAGCTTCCCTTCCAAAGACTTGTTTTCCCAGCTATGTGCCCTCGCTTTTGTCACCGTACAAGGACATGCTCGTGGTAGCAAAGGGAATGCGCGTGATAAAATGACGAGGCAAATTCACAGCCCTGCTCCATTACAGAACAGTTTCACGTTACGAAACTGTCGGCGGTTTATTGGGATGTGCATCCGACATGTTTCATAAAACCCTAAAAACGACGGAGCGACGCTGCTTTTTTCCCTCTGGCGTGAGACCGAGCCCCGAAACGGGGCAGCAAGGGGGGGACACATTTCACGGTGGGGGCGCAGAGTGTGCCATAACACCTGTAAACAGTGTTGAAACTCGTCGGAAGATAAGCGCCCTGCCTCTTTTTTTCACGGCCGAGCCTACTTCCTGGTGCATGAGGCAGCTCCTCGGCTAGTGTCGTAGTAAGAAGAGGGGCCAGCTGAAGTGTAGGTGGAGGCGGATGTTGATGGTCTGCAGTCGCGATAGCTTTAGCACACTTGTGCTCCTTTGAAGAAGGGGGGGAACAAAAAAATGGGAAGCACTGTGATGGAGTCCAGCAAGGAGAACTCAAAGAAAATGCCAAAGAAGAGGAGAAGTCTGAAGATTAACATGCCAGTGAGTCGGTGAAGTATCAGCTAATCTGGCTTCTTTCTGTGGCTGTTTAAAAAAAAAAAACAAAAACAAAAAAACTTGGCTTGCTGTTGAGTTTTAGTGAAATCTGGACTTGTAGTCGTCATTGGTGTTGCAGCTTCACCTGTGCTTGCACGCGCCGTAGAAGAGCGTGCATGATTGACAGCCCTCTGTGTCATGAGGTTTTAGTTCACCAGATTGTCTCACCGCCAAAATAGACGTCTTTTAATCTGTAAATACAGAAACGGTTCTATTTGCACTGGCGATTGTTTTGTTTTTGACGTTTCCTCGCTAACGTCAAATAGCCTGTTTTCCCCCAGTAGGCATTGTTGGGGTTACGGCTGACATTCACCTTCACACAAATGGCCATCACAGTTTTCCAGAGTCATAGCTGAAGTCTACAGATGTCGTTTTGTCAGCACTCCAAAACCCAAAGATGCTCATTTTTACAAAGATACGCAGCTGCTAAAACCACAAGATGCATTTTGACACGCGGCAGTAAATAAATCCCTGCATTTCTGGCATTTTTGTTTTAAAAAGAAATGAAAGATTATCAAACATGTTGCAGGTAAACTACTCGGTTAAATGGCTGCTGCAGCTCTAAGCTAACGTAGACACCTCAATATTGTGAGGAGAAGCAAGTAAGCAAAGGAAACATTTCAACATGCTCCAAACCAGTGTGTCATGATTCCCAGGGCCCTTATTTGTTTGACTTGATTTCAGTAGTCAGACCTGATTCACAATCTCCTCTATTCATCAGTCTGGGCAGTTTGTGCGTGGGATTGTTTATATTTGCTTCACAACCTTACAAAAAGTTGTGAACTTAATGGTTGTTTGTTTTTTTCAAGGTCAGAACATCTTATGGATACTGTGAGTAGATGGTGACACCTTGTTTTGTCTTGTAGCATGGATAACAGCCATGTTACTATAGCTCATAGGCATGTGTTTTCTAGACAGCATCCATCACATCCAGCTATGGCATGCTTTTCCAACTTAATCATACATGCATACAATATGTGTTCCATATGAGAGTTCATATAATTTATCAGTTGTAAGTTTAAAAAAAAGATTTTTTCTAATTGAATGTAAGATAGTGAATAAGCCACTGTTTTTTGTGGCCAGCTCTCAAGTGCTGGATGTTGGTGCTTTCGACCACCACGTGCCTCCCCCATCCTCAATCTGGTGGAAACACTCATGCAGTTGCATAAAAGATATTGCAACATGTTTGCATGGTCATAGAATTATACCCTTGTAATTAAACTGCCTTTGTGTATCAGCATGCATAGAGTCATAAGGGGTGTCTTGTGTGTTGCATTTTCTTGCAGTTGGCAGCAAGACATGTTCATCTTTTTTTTTTTTTTTGAGTGACAGCCCAAAGCAGGTGGTGTGAACAATTTTCAGTTTTACTCAAAGCAATGAAGAACAGCAGTGTCTAGCTGGTTTTAAAACTAGCTAAAGCCAAATGTAGCGGCTAGGAAGACATTCATGTTACCTGTTATGACATGCCGTTTTGTTCCTCTGCTGTGTTTTCTGGAAGTTAGCTTTATCGCTAGAACCCAGATCTTTTTTTATGTGCAGGACTTGGGCGCATTTATGTCCTCGCAAGTGGAGACGAGTGGCTCAACCAAAAGTGGCGCCCACAAGGTACAGAAAATATTTTCCTTCAGTGATTTTTGTGTCATGATTTTTCATTTAGTTTGCAAATGTTTATTTTCTCTGCACATAATTTATCTTGTTTGTTTGGCTTTGAACATGATCAGATGTAGATTTGGGAGTGCAAAAATATTATAGAAGGCCATCTCTGCTGTTCTGCCAACCCTCAGTGGTTTACAGTAACATTACACCCACTGTGTCCAGGCGTAGTAAGATCACATACAGGAAATTGATTTTTCTTTCTAAAAGAAACCAGCCGCTTCCCACTGTTTGCTCTAATTGATTTCAATAAGAGCAAACCTCAAACATTAGCTTATACTGGCCAGAATACACATTTCAGGTTTATCTTGGTAACATTTGTGCACTGGTGACAGAAACCTGCATTGGCTTGTATTTTTGAAGGAGATAAATTATATCTAAACGCTATGATAGCTGTTTCACGTGCCATAGCAGGCTCTTGCATAATGACAGAGTGAGAGTTATGGACAAACAGAACAGATGGGTGTGCGCTCTCGCTCGCTCAGATTTGTTACAGGATTGGTTTAAACAGAAATATGCTGTTGGAACAGGGCCAGCCTTAGGCAAATACCATCCTGAAGTCTCGTTAAGGAGACGAGACAAAACAATTGTCCGCTTTTGATTAGATTTGTTACAAATTTGGAGATTGAGTTGCTAGTGTTTTTATTTGTGCATTTTCCTTCCTAGAACAGTGGAGCAGCAGTGGCTTCATCATGTGGCTGATCTGCTTTGTAGAGAATGTTTATTAAGCATTTATTTTCCATCAGTGTTGCCAAAACACTCTCTTACATTTTACTGTTTTGTGTAAATAGAAGCTCAACCTGCATGTTATAATGCTCCACTGTGTCAGAACCCACAAATGGTTAAAAGATTGTTGTTGGCACATCCAGAGCAGACATCATTCAGTGGTGGGAGGAGGCTCTCTGTATCTCCATCTAGATTGGCTGCAGTCTTGTTTTGTTTTGGTATCTACACTGCAAATAGAGAAGGATTCTCAGTCTGTTTATACAGCATTGACCTTGCAGAGACAGACTTATAAACACAGAAAGTCATAATGAAAAATATCTGAAGTCGCTGTTGCAAACCTGTGTTGATGGTGACGCCATTTAACATGATGCACTTGCATAGCATGGTGTCTTAGTGAAATAGAGAAACAGTGGATTTGTAGTGTTTCATCTGCTAAACATTGCAGGTGAATGCAACACAAACTGCAACATTGTTTATATTGTTGCATTCTGGGCTCTAATTAAGTCTTGGACAACTGTGTGCAAACTGTTTCTGTTTAGGATTTGGTTGGTTTGCAGAAAATGTTCTCCAGAGTGCGACAAGTAAAAAAAAAAAAGTTGCATTGAAAAGAGTTTGGATTGTTCATTAATTAATATTGTTTGTTTGTTATTGTGGTAACTTTCTTTGTGTAATAACTAGATCATGAGAGAACATGTGCCTTATTGTACTTTATACACATGCCACTTTTATGAGAGACCATTAAGTGATAAAATGTAGCTAACTAAACAAAACTTGTGTGGGGGGAAAAAAAGAGAAGTGACCAGAATTGCAAGCCCTCCCACAAATCATGCAATCAGCAGCTGTCATTTCACAATAAATCTCTTCTCTGTATTTGCTCATTCAGGGTGACCATTTGTTTTGAACCTTATGTGGTTTTCACAGCCTAGATTTTCCATTTCTTGCTGTCTCGTATAAGTTTATGCACAGTGTGTTCCCAGAATATTAAGTGCAGGAAAATAAAAATGCCCCTTTTATTGTCTCTCAGGCAGAGCGTTGTGTCCGTTCAGCCAGCCCCACCAAAGGAGTGTCTGCCAGGAGCCCTGCCAGCGCCCTGCTGCCCCCATGTCCCCAGTCTGCTCCAGTGCAGTTGAAGGCGAACTCAGGTTCACCCAAAACTATCTTCCCCTATCCCTCCCACCAAACCTCCTCACCCAAGTCTCCCCGCCGCCTTAGCTTTGGGGGTATCTTTCGCTCATCATCTGGCTCCTCACCTACAGGCATCAAAATCTTCTCCAGAACCAGGAGAGGTGAGTCGAAAAGCTAACATTGCCCATCCATGATGAACACTGAGCTTGTTGTATGGAAACCTATAGTAAAGGGTGACTGGCAGTCGATGCATTGACTACAACTGTCTTTTGATAGCCTTGTACATTCCATTATGATAAGGAGTGTGAAATGAAACGATACCGCAAATCAGTGCTGATGTTATTTTCCGCCTCAGAAAAAAAAAATCTAGGAGGAGGACTGTTGTAAAAGGAAGTAAGACACAATAGACAAAACAATGTTATCTCAAATGGCTGTTTGGGCTTTGTGCTGTGTGTACAAGGCAAAGCTACACATCTGTGCTTTTCTGATTGGATTCCTAAGTTCAGATATTTTACAGCAGGCATACAAATATAGCATGTAGCATTTTTCCACTTATATACATGGAACATGTTTGTGCTAATAAGGAAGTAGAAGCCCGGGTTTCATTATGATAAAAAAAAATCCAGTGCTGTTTGGTTTGTGGTGCTCTACTGGCCACCAGACATTAAATGCAATCCTCTTCATATTGATGTCAGCAACTTTCTCTAGAGAAAGGAAATGCTTAGCTTTGTTTATAGTATAGTCACAATCAAAGAGAAGGGTTTTTTTTTTTTTTTTTTTTTTTTTTTTTTTTTCCGACTAAAAAAAAGGGTTTTGAAGGGAGGGTTTTTACGAATAGTGCTTTGCAGAGCAGGTTTGTCAGATTACATTTTAGAGTTGGTATCCAGCTATAGTACATCATCCATATCACTTTTAAAGTGCTCATTAATGATATAATGTTAATAAATGGTATGCACAGTGGTTTTATGGAGATCAGACGTATCAGGCAGATTTTCAGCTCTCATGTCTCTGTATATTTGAGTTCATTATTGCATTACAAAAACTAGTCTGTTTAACATGGAGGGGAAAAAAAACCCAGTGGAAGCATCAGACGGCACAAAGATGAGTCATATGTTTTTGGGTAGTACAGGACTTTTACCCGTTCCTCTCTGTTTCCCTCCAGAGGGTCAGTTTGGCAGTAGTTGGTGGAATAGCACTGTTAGTGCCAGACCTTAAGAGTCAGTGTGCTCAGTTTGTCTGGAGACTGTTATTGATGGTAACCAAACTAAAACACACCAAAATACGCTAGCTGCCACGGCCTTCCTGTGCCAACTGCTCAGGTTACTAAGTGTCTGAGGTGGTTTGAGTCATTGCATCCTCTCTAGTGGTTTACTTATAGTAAATGTTATCATACAGTAAATGAGTGGGCATGAAAGCTTTTCTATTTTCATGAGATGTTTTTGTAGGCACTCTACTTTTGCCACAAGGGTGTGCTGAAGGCCTAGTCTTCTCTTGACTGACTTTCACATGGGTGTTGCTGAAGATATCCTTGTTTTATAACCTTGTACTTTTTAAAGATTTCTATAAATATATATTTTTTTTAAAAATGGTGTTCCTGATCATCTGATTTTGCGTCAGTTACATATGATTCATTCATTGTTCTTAGGTGCACTTATGTCCAAATTTGTTTCCAGTATGAGTAGAATGTCTCCTCATTTCCAGCTGGTCTAAATATGTGTTTTCCCATCACCCTGGACATTGTCGGTATCTGTTGAAGGCAACTGTAGTGCTTTCATAACCTTATCTGGAAGTGAATGGACTCACAGGAGCTCTTCACAACCATGCGAGTTTTTTCGCCCTCACCCTCGCTCTCCCCTTGCTACTGTGGTGCTGTGTGTTGCCAGTAAATAAAGGAGCTGGGCAGTTTTAACCTTTAAAATTCACTAAATTAATATCTACAAGGGCTTGTTTGAGTGGAGAAGCTAAGCCAGGGAAAAGCTTAACAAAATCTACTTTGGAGACATATCTGTGTTTTATAACCTAAAGCGTATTTAAAGCGTGTTGGACTTGAAACTTAGCAAACCTCACAACAAACTGAAGAGAATTATCTTTACTAGGATAATGACAAAATGTGTTACAGTATCAGAAAATGTTTGACCTGACCTGACAAGCAACAGAAAATACATGATGGATTTAATCAAAGATATATCAACCCTAACTCATATTGTCCGTTCAACCACTGAGCAGCGCGGAACACTTGCATAACATGTTAACTGAGATCAGAACTGGACATGCTGTAGCTTATGTGGACAGCAAATGCTGAGTCTGCCATCTGTTAAGTGTAAGAGAGGCTAGTGGTGTTGAATGGAAGCTTTCTGTACAGCTGACTGAACATGGGATGTACCCCTGCTGTCGTCTGAATGCGGTTGGCCTCTGCAGAATCGAAGGTCAGGCCCCCAAAAGATACAGACAACTGACTGCACAGATGACTGAACTGCAGGACTCCCTTTGTCTTTATTTGTAATCCCTTTAACGGCTCAACTGCAAATTGTTTTTACCTGAGGAAACACAGTAGATAGTGTAACATACATTCAGGATCACACAGTGTGAAGAGAGTGAGGCAGACAGGCCTGTGCTGAATTTACACTGTGAGGAGAGGCAGGGTAGTGCAAGACGGGGGGGCGGAGAGATGTGCAGCCTGAGCCAATCGGAGGTGTGTCCTTCATAGACTGGCCTCCTTTTACACACCACTGACATGCGTGCTATATTAAAGAAACACCACCCACAGCTGCACCTGACAATTTACGGCACTGACACTGCTGAGAGGGGGGAAAAGGAGCTCCGGTTGGCCCCAGTTGTTATTTGCATCACATGCGAGAAGGAGATTTCTCTGCTGAAGCTGTGTGAAACTTATAGCTTTCATACTCTTCAAGACTTCCATCAAACATTGACACAGAGAGCTTACACTGCTTCCTGCTGGCTCTGCGCTCTATGGCCCTGGAGGACATTTCTTCCTGGATGTGCAAACTCGGTCAATATTTGTGACTTGCTGCAGTTGTAATTTTCTCTTCATAAGTAGTACTGCTGGCGCCAAGAAAAAGTGGAATGTATAACTTCACAGACTAGCCTATGGTCGTTTTTCTCTCCTACATATATGTGATATCAAAAGAGGAGCATCATTCCTTGATCCATAGATTGAAGGTGACCAGTTTCCTCTTTTAAGGAAAAGAGGACCATTTCTCAGACTAAAAAGCTGGATATCCTTGTCATCTTCATTTCTGTACAACACCAAGAAATGCAGTGATTCTCACTCTGAGCCATTTCTGCGCCCCCATCGTGATGCAGATGGTCATGGTCAGATTTAGTTTTGAACCCACGACCCACTGCGCTCCATGAAGAGGCTTGGCAGTCTGAGAAGGAGCAAGAAACGGAAGGAGCAAGATGGGCTAGGAGGGAGGCATCAGTCCGAGGCATCATATCTGTCTGGTAACGTGTTGTGCTCTTTCACTTCCTGCGTTCGACCTTTATCTTGACATTTTCCCTCTCCTTCCCCTATTTGTCACCATGATCTTGAATTGATATGTTTAATGTTTACAGCAAAACAACTTCTAGTGGGGGCAGTCACATGCTAGTGCACCTTTTTAAGGACATATTTTAAAGGCGTCAGAAAAACATATTCTACATCATATACGCTTAAGATTGAACACAAGTCATATGGAGGGAGTACTTTATATATTGCATGTTATATCTCCCCAGTCATTTAATGTTGTAGTGGTATGTGAAAATATTACATCAAGTCTGAATGAGATAACAGTGTGTGGCATTCAAGTGGCACTTCATCACAGACTTCACAGCTCCAGATTTAGAGCCAGTCTGACCTCGAGAGCAGAGTTGTATCATGATGATGTATGTCCATATGTGGCTGTATATGTTCACTGTACTGTATAGGACATGATGTTGATGCCTCAGCCTGATCCAGAACCTCTGTGCTATGGAAGTTACAGCTACATCACGTATATTGTTCACGGCACACTCTGGGAAAATGACATCTACACGTGGCATTTCAGTAGTGGGCAGTGAAGATGTCAGTGTGATTCTTGACTTGTGACTGCTCATTTAAATGTCTTGCCATGCTGGAGTTCAGACACCTAATGAATTTGTGAAGCGCTGATCACTCACATCCTTTTTTTTTTTTTACTAGGAGTCTGTATTATAGTGTAGCTAGCACATTAGTTTGAAGCCCCTGTTGCTAATTTGGTTACTGGCTGTTTGTTCTGTCACCTGTTGCTTTGCAGTCTGCACACCAGTTCTACCCAGCAAGCCTATACAAACAAAGCTGCTCACATTTGTGACTCACCATGTGACGTGGCTGTAGCAGCGTGTCCACCAGGCCTGTAGCGACCTCACTACTGCTCTGACGTCAACAAATGAGGCTCAAGTTAGCGTAGCCCCACATGGCTGAAAACCCCCTGCTGACTCCTCAGGGTGGACTCCGACTGAGAGGATCTGCTTTCATGGGTGTTGCACTAACACAGCGTTGTGGTAAATTACATCCATACTAACAGACCTCTGAGTCATTACAGATCTCAGATTTTTTGTTCAGCTGTTCAAATTAGGGCTGCAAATAATATTTAATTATTAATTAATCTGCATGCTAGTTGCTGATGAATTTTCTGCTAAAATCAGCCAGTGTCCGTGTGTAGACTTAGGTGTGTGTATTGTCTCAGGACAGCTTATCAGTATGTGCTTAAAGGGTTTCCACACCAAAATATTAAATAGAATACTGTGTAAGGTCGCCTCTTTTTTTTTCAGCACAGTCCCAAAGATAGAGGGACTGTGCTATCCATTTCCTGTTTCCTGGGAGGTGTCTCGCCAGCCGTTGTTGGTCAGGCCGAGGAGAGGGCTCCCGGCCCCACTGTTATCTTCCTCCTGCGGAATGTGCCACAACAGCTTGGCTAAAATAAGAAGGCTACACGGTGGATGCAGGGCACACCAAAGAGGGCTGGTGCATGCCAACTAAAGTAAATGTCAGGAGATAACGTGGAGTGCACTTGGACAGACAGAAAAATGTTCGCTCAGTACACTGGGTACGCACAGCACATTAATCCTACTTGATTTCTGATTTCAGATTGATCTGATTCAGGATTCTGAAATTATCTCGGTTTGATGTGGCTGAGTCCAGTGACATTTACACATTCTCAGCTCTGTCACACCAGCATTGGCTGTGTAGCCGTGATAAAACTGAACTGGAAGTATCATGGTGAAGGCTTTGTAACGTGAACCATTTGGTCTACATCCTCCATGTCACTCATCGTCTGTTCTCAGAAATATGTCAGCAAGGCAGTGCCGGGGTTAGCGTGTGTGTCACATGCCACTGTGTGTAAAATAGTACCACCTGATGTGAAAGAGCATGTGCCTGTCATGTGACCGTCACCTTCACACTGACACTGTGGCAGCGTCACAGGCAGCTGACTATTACACTGCACTATTACGATGCAGGTGCTTATGCTGTAATCGGCCTAATTATTGTGGAGGGATGCTGGGAACAGGAAGAGAAAACAGCCTCAACATTGATCCACTATCGACTGCTGTTTAGAGCTTTGGAGTGCCACCAGGGGGTTTTTCATTTCACAGAGTCAGAGGGATGCAGATGTCTACAGCTGTTGCTTCAGTGCAGCGTTATGAGGAATAATTGCAATCAGTGTACTTTTCTAAAACAAACTTTGATCATTCTGTTTTGCTGTTGTGACCTTGTGGTTTGTTTCAATGGGTTTTTAAGATTTGCAAATTCTTTATCATACTTAGTTGGTTTTCATAGCGTGCAGCCAAATTTGTCCCACTAAAAATTTTATGTGGTTCGACCCACAGAGATGTAACAAGAGCTTTCCACTGGCCAGCTTTCGCCTTCTGATCCCACACAGGATTAAACCTACCCCTTGCTGACTGCAGAAGAAGGCTGCAGCATCATGTAGCACAGCACGTTTAAAGAGGAACCTGAAACCAAAGTGGATTTCATTTAAAAAAAAAAAAAAAAAGGCCAGAGACACAGCAAGTATACGATTAGAAGGCACACTAGTAAATGGATGAACAAAAATAAAAGGCTGGTAACACCCACACAGCTGTTTTCAATTCTGGCTAATTGCACTCCAGCTCAGGTTGAAGATGGGCGGAGCTATGCTGTAATTACATTCCCACACAGTGTTCAGATGAGATCTAATTAGGCAAAATAATTGAAAACAGCGTGTCAGTGAACCATGCGTGTGTATAGGCCCTTTTTTCAGATCAGTTTGCTCACTACCTAAATTCATTGATCATGTGTGAGCTTTATTAAGAATTTTTTAAATGTATCAAGTTCTTGATGACCTAAAAAACTAATTACTTTGACAGCACAAGGTAGTTTGTCTACATACTCTGCTATGGAATTAGAGAATGATCACATTTCATGCATAGTGGGTAAAAAAAAACAAACTTCTTATAGCAATGTAACCCTATTACACACACCATTTTTATTTTTTACTCTGATTCAATTTGAGGGTTGTTTAGAAGCACTAACAAACTGGACTTTTTTTATTTACTCTATTAAAGCACACACAAAATGTAATTAATTATTTAGTATAACTCAGTTTTCCAGCTGCTTTTGTAATGGTGCTTTACCTACTGCATCCCTGTCTGTCAGCGACCGGGCTGTGCATTTATCTCTGGCATGTCTGATCCATCAGGGACTCCCTCAGCCCCTGATGGATCAGATTGGCATCCCCTCCCTGTTGTAGCATGTGATAACATCGATGCTGTCTGCAGCAGTCACAACTCAATCTCACCGGCTGAGCCCATCAACAACGTCAATCTGTTTCTCAGTGTCGCTGTAAATGTAGTATGGATTGACACTGAGGGATGATTTGAGGTATCTGTGTTGATTCTCAATCTCTCCACAGCATCTGGAATCTCCACCCCACCAACCACCCCGACCCAGGTGGCCAGCCAGCCTGTTTTCACCCAGGACTCCCAGCAGAGCGGACACAGTCCTGAACGCCTGGAGCCGAGCTCCCGTTCCCGCTCCCTCTCCACGCCTCCTGACACAGGACAGCGCCTCAGCCTCCCCTCTGCTAAACCCCCGATCCCTTCCTCGAGCCCCGTGCCATCTTACTCTACCTCACAACAAGTGAGTCACGCTGCAGAATAAGCTAAACAAAACAAAAGCTATTAAAAGTGGAACAATTTTTGTTTCAATATTTTTCATGTTATGGCTCTACAAGTCAATCTATCTTTTGATTGTGACACAGCAGGGTTTCATATCTCAGGTACAAAACTGCTTCAAATATCACCTGCAGTTTGTACTTTTAGGAGAGAGTGGTGTGAGTTCTTAGGGACTGAACTTCTCCAGGGCTGAGAAACAGCATAGGCCTGTGAATTTGTAAAATGGGTGAAACATTTATTGCTTTTATTCAAAAGTAAGTCTAAATATGAGACTGGATTTGCTGGTGAAATGCTTTTTATCTTTGGACTAATTAAAACATAGCTCATTTTATGAAGGCATTAATAAAACTGCATCGGCCGTGTGATGTCAGAGCTAATTATTACTTTTCCTTTGTGGCTACGTGAAAGTAGCCTTATACACACTTGCCTTCTTTTCATGAGACACATGCTACTTTACTCTGAGTCATAAGGGTTTGGTTGGACTGTGGTGAACCGAAAGCGTGGATGATGCAAAACATTTTCATCTAAGCGCTAATACCTGAGCATGCAGTGCGTGTCAACACTGCTGTTTGCACTGTTTGGTGTAAATATTGTTTCAGCATTGAAACGACATCTCAAACAGTGTTCGACGTTGGCTAAGCTGCTGCGCAGTCGCCTGTTACAGCGAAAACTGCTAAGAGCAAATGTAGTCTTTGTCACAAGACTTCTCATTTAAGCTGCTGGACTCAGGTAGTGTGAGCCAGGATGCCATACTGGATTTCCTAATTAGTGAGGGATGACTTTATTCCTCGTTCATGACTTGCTGTGCTGATTTACTGAACAATTATCTGAAAACCTGTCTGTGCTGAGTGATTGCAGGTTCTAGCCAGAAAGGGCAAATCAATATTTCATCACCAACATTGTGTACTGTTGATATTAACATCCAAGGATTCATGATTTAGATTGAAAAGTGATGAGTCAGTTCCTGTCGGCACCTCCCACCCCTTTGGCATTATACATAAATAAGGGTGGCTTACAAATTAATCTTCTGGTGCTATAGTTTCCTGTTTTTTAGTAATCCAATTTTAAAAGCAATTCATTTCATGGATTTCTCTCTACTTGCTTCCCTGCAGTTTGCTGCTGTTAAAGGAGCAGGCTGTGATGCAGCAGGCTGAGATTTATGAATGTGCAGGGGTGGTTTTTTGGCGAGAGAAGTGCTGTGTCATTATTGCAGGGCAAAGCTGGGAACTGTTTAACATCCCAGAGCAGGTATGCAGGCGTTGTCTTACTGCTACAGTGGCTTGTTGTGGATATATTGACATATTTGAGACCAAAGTAAATCCAAGAAGCACACTTTGAATATGCAAATGCGAATGATGATGCGGCTGCTGCCAAGTTTGTTGCCGTGTTGTTGGGCTGTGGCTCAGGAGGTAGAGCGGATCGTTTCCTAACCGGAGGATTAGCGGTTCGATTCCCGGCTTGTCCAGTCAAGATGTCGATTGTTGCTCCCGGTGATGTCACCGGTGTGTGAATGCTTGGGAGTGCGAATGGGTGAATGGCCGAATAATGTGAAAGCGCTTTGAGTGTGCTGTAAAAGCATAGAAAGGCGCTTTACAAGTATAAGACCATTTACCATTTGTTCGTTTTCTGAGAAGAGATGATGTCTGGGGATGTGACAAGGCATCCCCAGCTTGCTGCTAAGCAACGTAAGGGATTTCCTAATATGGTGAAGCGCCCAGGTTGCTCTGCATGGAGGGGTGTGTCCTCAGTACGTGCAGCTTCCTGCTTTTTGCATCACGCTTTATGTGAGAGACTTATCCAGTGGTAAGTGTTGTTTGGTGGATTTATGTCTGTAACAGTGCATTCGGTTGACTCACTGCAATGAGATTAAATCTCTGAAGGTTGTGTAGTGGCTTGTCGAGCAACGCAGAAGCATCTGTTGTCCCTGCTGCAGCAAATGGATCAGGACTGTTCCACTTCGAGTTTTAAGGGGTGTGTGTTTAATAATTACGTGCCACTAAAGTTTCAGCTCCGCTGCTCAAGTTTGTGTCATTACCTCTGTATACTAAACGGGCCACAAAGGGCTTTAGGTAATCGGTAAAACGCCGGTGACGCGCGCCGTGTTTGGGGGCTGTTTTGGTGTTTGCGCACCACACTCCGTATGATCACAGCCTGCTGTGGCCGCTGGGGGAAAGCTGCTTCATCCTGGTGCTCACTCACAATTTACCGCAAAGTTTTGTCGTGCGCTGCCGAGTCCTGTTGAGAGGATTTGCTGCGCTCTTCACTGCAAACCTGTCATTTCTCCCTTTTACAGGTTTACGGTTTATTCGAAGGCATGCTGGAGAAACTTGAACTAGACGATGACGGTGAGTAAGAATTGCTGCCCCACTGCTCTTTTATTTACTATCTTCAGCGCAATTAGGCCGGACGTAATGTAATGCAGAGGTGATCGGGGTATCGGAGGTATTCCAGCTATGTGCCCAGCTAAAGGGGATATTTCACCAAGCTACCAGTCAATCTGCTCCAAAGACCGTGTGCGCCCTATGCTGCCTCTGCTCAGTCGTATTTAGCGATTCATCCGCTCTGAATTGTCAAATTGTAAGGGATTCCCTCTGCAGGCTGTCGAGTTTGGCCTTTATTCTAACACACCCGTTCATTAAATGTTTTGAAGTGTTAGACAAGAGGCCTTTAATCTACATTCAGTTGGCACCGCGGGCTGCAGCTTCCAGCCTGGTCATACATCTGACTCATCACCTCTGTAAAACAATTTCAACCAAAACTGAGCATTATCACCTTGATAAAGGTAGAATTGATCATTGTTTGTATTAGATTGACTTAGTTTTAGCCAGGTGTACCTAACAAACTGGCAACTGAATGTATGTGTGACCAACAGCTCAAAACAGGGAGAGCGGCAGATCTTTACATTCAGTGAGCAGGACTCACTTATTTTCATGTTTTGACCTGATACATCGATTAATAATCACCATTTAGTCAGTCAGTGATTAATTTGCTCATTGTTTCACCTGTTCATGGTGGGAAAATAAACCAATTTGATCTGTGTGATGTGTGAAGGAAAAGGAAAGTCCTCCACTACATTGCTGTCCATGTTTTTTTCCACTGTTTCTGTGCTTGGTGGTGCTTAAAGCAAAGCATAATTATCAGTATGATGGATCGGCAAAGTGCCCCAGACCCATAATGGTTGTTTAGGCTTTGAGAGTGTTTTTGTTTCCCGGCTCTCATTATATATTCC